GTGTCTGTAGGTGCTTGCGATCACGTTTCATAGAGGTGGCCCCCCTCCACTCGCTGTTCCACCCGCGCCAGCTGACGCACATGCAGCGTGGAGTGTGGGAAAGCCGCGTGCATCCATGGCAACCCCAGCACCGACATCAGGATGTTGATAAACCCAGAGAGCATCAGGTCCCAGTGGTACGCCGTTCCCTTTAGCAGTCTGAAACACATGCACACACACCAAAAGAGATCATACGGCGTCCCCCTCAGCGTCTCCGCTGAACTGACATTGTGAATGATGGCTCACTGATCTCTGAAAAAACGTCATTCTAACAAATAGAGAAGGTATGGCACAGAAGCATGAAAACAAACTTTTAATGTTTAAACTCAAATATGTGACCCTGGACAACAAAACCAGTCATAAGGGTCAATTTTTCGAAATTGAGATTTATACATCATCTGAAAGCTGAATAAATAAGCTTTCCATTGATGTGGAATATTATAAGATATTTTCTTATAATAGGACAATATTTGGTCGAGATACAACTATTTGAAAATCTGGAATCTGAGGGAGCAAAAAAATCAAAACATTGAGAAGATCGCCTTTAAAGTTGTCCAAATGAAGTTCTTAGCAATGCATATTAATTATCAAAAATTAAGTTTTGATATATTTACGATAGGAAATTTACCAAATATCTTCATGGAACATGATCTTTACTTAATATCCTAATGATTTTTGGCATAAAAGAAAAATCGATCATTTTGACCCATACAATGTATTTTTGGCTATTGCTACAAATATACCCCAGCGACTTATGACTGTTTTTGGGCTCCAGGGTCACATATGCAGTGTTGGGGGTAACGCATAACAAGTTATGTAATCAGATTACTTTTTCAAGTTACGCGTAAAGTAATGCATTACTTTTTAATTTACTGTACAAGAAAATGTCTGAGTTACTTTTTCAAATACGTAACGCCAGTTATTTTGTTTCCCATTTATTGGCTGATTGCTCTCCTGTCCTCATGTTGAGAGAAATGGGGAGTAAGTTCAGAGGTGTTGTGTGCGCTGTGTGAACATGATGTTACTGTAGATCTAGACTAAATGTCAACATGCATTTACTCATCTCACTTACACAAAAACAGATTCAGTATCTCTCAAAATGAATAAAAACAGTGCAAAGCAAGTGCAAACTCAGAATATGACAAACCTGAAATAATTAAATATGTTAAATAACACAAATATCCTTTATATGTATTCAGTCCCATTTGATTGACCAATATCTTTGCTGCTGACCTTCGATGATCCAATCAAACCACACTAATAAGCAAAAATTACTTTAGATACACATAACATTTGTGCTTCTTTTTTTTATTGCTGAAGAGTGTTAAACTTTCTTCTCTTGCGTCCTATTCTTCATGCAATCCAGAAGGCAGCACAGCTGAAAGGTTTGTTTGAGCGGCGCCCTCTACCATACAGACGTGAATTTACATTTCCTCCAGCCTGAGGCTTATTGTTTCACTTTTGGTGTGAAAGGGCTTTTACATTTGCCAAAAATATAACTTTTTATATTAAAAACAAACAAGCAAGTCCAGCACAGATTTAAAAAGTAATGTAAAAGTAACATAATGCATTACTTTCCATAAAAAGTAACTAAGCAACGTAATATTGTAATGTGTTACACTCTTAAAAATAAAGGTGCTTAAAAGGTTCTTCACAGTGATGTCATAGAAAAAAACATTTTTTGGTTCCACAAAGAACCATTCAGTCAAAGGTTCTTTAAAGAACCATCTCTTTCTTATCTTTTTATAATCTGAATAACCTTCTTTCGCCACAAAGAAGCTTTTGTGAAACAGAAAGGTTCTTCATATGTTAAAGGTTCTTTATGGAACCATTTAGACAAAAAAAGGTTCTTCTATGGCATCGTGAAGCACCTTTATTTTTAAAGAGAGTACTTTTAAAAGTAACTTCCCCAACACTGCAAATATGACTCAACTGATTGAAATAGTTTTTGATTTGCTGCATGGATACCTGTTCTCTGGGGCATTGGTGAGGGACACCACAATATTCTGGTCAATGAAGATGAGCAAGGCAAGGAGAAAGCCAAGACCGCATGCACTTAATACATTCATCCCTGTCAGCTGGTCAAAAGCTGCTACTCTGAATAGGGCTTCATTCTGGTAGTTGAATACTGGAACTGTGGATCAACATATTGGAAGAACTGAATGTATAGTTCACCAAACGAATGACATTTCTGCAAATATTTACTCACTTTGCCAAAGCTTTCAATCACATTCAAACCTGTCACCTCAAAATGGATTGCGAAAGTTTTGACGTCAATGGCAATTGATCAGGATGTCCTGCTGTGACATGTCTTGAGGTGCCAGGTTTGAATCAAAGACTGTATAATATCTAACAGATATTACTCGCATTGCTGTGAACGGGAGAAAAAGCAACATGCAATTTGGCAGCTCTAGTAATGGAAGTCCCACCTTTAAAAAAAAAAAAAAAAAAAAGCCAAATTGTTAGACTATTCACTTCCCATAGAAACCGGAGACTCCCACATCCATTGGTTGGACCATCCTAAAATATACGCTTTTTAACGATTTAACAGTGCTGGGAAGTAACTGATTACATGTAATCTGGATTACTTAATCAGATTCCAAAAGTTAGGTACTTGTAATTAGATTATATTACATTTTAAAATACTCGTAATACAACTACAGTTACTTTTGTTATTGATTACATGATTACATATTATTCACACAGGTCTTTTTTGTCAGCTGAATGTCTTTTACCTAATATATTTACTTGAAGTACCCCCTGAGATTTCAAAGTAATAAGTCAATAGCACATTTGCATTTTTCTCTGACGTTGATGGTCACATGCAGAATGCAGGTAAACAAATAAAACATTTAAATTTGTTAATATGCGTTTTATTTTGATTGTAATTATTTCAAAAGGATTTAATTTAATTTTAAATGTTATTATTTAATTATTAGCTTTTCATTTAACCCACAAACCCCCTACAGATCCTTCATGAACCCCGCTTTAAGAAATGTTAATGTAATGTTTAATGCACTTAATGTTGTTAATAACAACAAATGGGATATATTTTCTTTCACTTTGTATTTTTATATGAAGATGGTACAATATTGTTCTATTTAAATCAATGTGATAAAATGAGTTAGCTCACAAGTAATCTAAAAGTAATAAAAAAGTAGTCCAATTATATTACCTAAAACGTGTAATGGATTACACATTACTAACTACAATTTTTGTTACGTAAATTTGGAATCAGTAACAGATTACAATTGTAAGTAATCTACCCAGCACTGGATATAACAATATTTACGAAAGTATTTTATGTAAAAGGTACAAAAATGTGAGATTTTTAGGAAAACGGTAAGCATGATAGTCCACCCCAAAAACAAAACTGTCAGTGGGGAGTAAGCAGTTCATAGGAAAACATACGAATAAGATTGTACAAATTCATATAATTATTTATGTGTATTTATATTAAATGTGTGGAAGTGTGAAAGAGACTACAATTTAGGGGATGACTATCAAAAAATTATTTATATTTCAATCTATCATCACACAATGCCTCTAAAATACTTGGTATATAGCACATTGTGTATATGGATTAGGGCTGCACGATTAATCGAATGCGATTGTCATGCGCATTTTGTTAGTAAAGCCGGTTCTGTAATAAGCAGGAAATCATCATCACGTGGTTTCAGATGGAGCAGAATTTACTACACAGAGCCGTAGTTCACTGACAAGTTACGCAAAAAAAATTCACAGACGATATTATTGCGCGATTCTGAAATTGAAGAAATCGTTCGCGATAATGACAGCTGTTTGCATAGCTTCTCAGTGAACTACGGCTCTGTGAAGTAAATGCTGCTCCATCTGAAAGCATGTGAAAATACAACATTTCAGCATTTCAGCGCGAGAGCGCCCTCTGGCCTTCGGATGGCGATTTACTGCTGATCACAGAACCGTGCTTCACTGAAAGATACGCATGACAATCGCAGCTTCTGTCGAATCGCGATCTCGATTCCATTTAGATTTATCGTGCAGCCCTAATATGGACTACTTTAATGTTCTGATGGAGTTCTGATGGGTTGCATAATTATTACATTCAACATTATTGCGGGATGAAATCGCACCTAACCCAGAGTCTATTTGTGATAATTATGATATAAGCAAAAGTACTACATGATCATTAAAGGAGTGTTTTTTTTTTTTGGACATGAGGACTCACGCTGAATGTCGATGAACAGGTAGGAGCCCACGAAGGAGAAGATGACCACAGAGATTGGCAATGCACAGTCTGACACCACCTCCCTGACTTTAGCATGCAGGAATGGGCTGGAAAGAAACAGGAAAGTAGAAAATGTAAACCTTGAGTAATATATGGAAACCCGTTTCCGCTACTAAATAAAAAAGTAATTGCAACTTTTTATCTTACATATGTGACTTTTTTCTCACAATACTGAATTTTTTTCTCAGAATTGATATAAACTCGCAATTCTGACTTTTTTTCTCAGAATTGACTAATAAACTCGCAATTACAAGAAAGTCAAAAGTTTGAGATATTAACTTGCAATTTCGAGATATAAATTGGGAATTGTGAGTTTATATCTCACAATTCTAAGAAAAAGGTCAGAATTGCGAGTTATAAAGTCAGAATTCCGAATTGACAGAATAAAGTCAGAAAACTCGCAATTGCGAAGAAGTCTAAATTTCGAGATATAAACTTGCAATTCTGACTTTTTTCCTTAACAATTCTGACTTTTTTCTCGCAATTGTGAGTTTATATCTTGTAATTATGACTTCTTTTCTCAAAATTATGAGATCTCGCATTTTTTCCTCAGAACTAGACTTTATAACTCGCAAATGCGCAAAAACTGCGAGTTTATATCGCACAATTCTGACTTTATAACTCACAACTGAATGTTACAAAGTCAGAATCGCGAGATATAAACTCACAATTCTAGGAAAAAAGTCAAAATTGAAAGATATAAACTCACAATTCTAGGAAAAAAGTCAAAATTGAAAGATATAAACTCACAATTCTGAGAAAAAAGAATTGCAAGTTTATATCTTGCAATTCTCAGAATTGCGACTTTATTTCTCAGAATTGCGACTTTATTCTCAGAATTGCGAGTTTACATCTCAAAATTCTGACTTGGTAACTCTCAATTGCGAGTTTATATCAGACAATACTGAGGGAAAAAAAACTAGAATTAAAAATTAGTGCTGTCAAATGATTAATCGTCATTAATCGCAACCAAAGTAAAAGTTTTTGTTTACATGATATATGTATGTGTACTGTGTTTATTTATTATGTATATACTATAAATACACTCACATACTGAATATATTTTGAAAATGTTTACATGTATATAAATTTATATTATATTTTTATTATATATAAATATATATAATATATAAACATAACAGTTTGTATGTATATATGCATAATAAATATACACAGTACACATACATATATTATGCAAAGAAAAACTTTTATTTTGGATGTGATTAATCACGATTAATCGTT